ATGGAGGGGTGTTGCAAATCATGAGGACCTGCCAAGTGGTATGATAGCATTGTTTTATACATGTCCTTGGCTAGGCCTCAGTTTCAAAATCAGTCCTTGGTCCTTGGCCTAGGCCTCGGAGGCAAGTCCTTGGCCTTGGCCTTGGGTTGCCGGTCCTTGGACACACTTGGCCTTGCCTCGGAAAATTTTCCAAGTCCTTGGCCTTGGCCTTGGCCTCGGAGGCAAGTCCTTGGCCTTGGCCTTGGCCTCGGGTTGCCGGTCCTTGGACACAACACTGATCTTGTTCCTTGTTTATGTCAATGTCTAAAATAAAGCAATCATTCTTTCAAGTAACACACGCACATTCATTCACATCACAACTCCCTGCCCTTTTGACTCCATCAAATCCATGGTATTTTAATCACTGTGTCATGACATTTATTTTCCACATGATGGCGCAATAGAACAAATGGAGCCTCATGATGCTTTGGCCCAGGACCGACCCAGTTGGATGGAAAGCCTCATTGCCTCACGAGGCTTCAGTTTCCCATCACTACAGTCTGGGTGTCACTGGCCTCATTAAAAACTGACATTACTCCACTGACTCCAGAAGAATGTCAGATCATTGAAGAAATGCTCAGGGTTCTTGCTCCTTTTGACCAAGCCACAAGAGAACTGTCTGAGGAAAAAGGGTCTCTGGTTTAAAGGTCATTCCTTTGATGAAAATGATCCACAATGAGCTTCAACGTCAGGCCACAACAGTGACAACAACAGCTGCTCAACAACTGGCTGAAAACCTTCGTAAGCGGCTAATTGATGCTATTTGCAGCATGGAATCACTCAGTGTGATGACACTGGCAACACTGTTTGATCCCAGATTTCAAAAAGTTGGATTTGTTAGTCAACAAAAGGCAAGTGAAGCAGTGAAGAGAGCAGTCGGAGTGTGCAATGGAAATGAGGAGCCAAGAGCCTGACCCAACAGAAGAGCCTGGCCCTCGCTCATCACATGGGTCAGAATCCAGTTCAGGTCAGAAAACACATTTCTTTGTGTTTATTCGTATACTTCTGTGGCACTTTGTCATATGATAATGAACTATTGTTTGACTATTTTTCGGGCACAATCTCTGGAAAACATTTGATATGGAGGTTGCAGAGACCCAGAAGACCTCAAATGCAACAGCTGACTCCATAATTGAAGTCCAACGCTACCTGGCAGAAGCAAACACACCCAGACACCATGACCCTTTACAACAGCGGTCCCCAAACTTTTTCCTGTGAGGGCCGCATAAGCTTTCGCTTCTGTGATGGAGGGGCCGGGGTCAGTCTGGAACAGAAAAAGGGTGACCGCAAGAGTACGGAAATGTAAAAATGGATTGTTTTCCAGAAACCCACACAAAATGAAGCCGCCTCTTGACAGATGAGACTGACAGACGTTTCTTTGCGCTGAATGAAACAAAAACAAAAACATCGTTTGTCCACTTTGGGTTAAATACCCTGCATTCTATTTTTCTCTGACCGAACCTTTTTGCCGACAAATCCACATCGATGAAAAATAAATCAAATTACTCAGTGGTATTTTCAGGGGGCCGGACCAAATGCGGAGGCGGGCCGGATCCGGCCCGCGGGCCGTAGTTTGGGGACCACTGCTTTACAATATTGGAAATGGAACCAGAGAACATATCCATATCTGCATCAACTTGCACTTAAAACTCTCTGCTCACCATCATCATCTGTACCATGCGAAAGAGTACTGTATTTTCTAAGGCTGGGGAGCTGGTGTCAAAGAGGAGAAATCGCCTTGGAGCAAAGGCACTCAAAGCACTTTTGTTCCTTAATAAAAATTCATCAACTAATGACTTTATAGTCTTTTATTTCATATGATTTCACGGTGAACAACATTTTCTACATAAGTTAATAATTGTAACTCTGAATTGTAAGTCAGATTTGCTATATTTTACATACCAACTCACTTCAGCATTTACACAAACAAGGAATTTCTTTACCTGCAATGATTTTATAGCTACTGCAGGGGTCACTATTGGGTGACCAACACAGTATCAATGCAGTGCCGACACAGTTTGTGTAATGTGTCAATACACTCCTTGAGGTATCATCGTCCCATCCCTACTGTTCACAACCTGACAATAAACTCTCAGACTCTACTGAAATAGGAAATTCACATACCAAAAATATGGACTTCAAAAACTTTACAAGACATTCGACCCTAAAAACAATTTGGACGCTGACAATCATTTCTTTAAGAATAATCACAGAATTTCAAACTCTGAGTATTACATGGACGTACAATTCAATACAAATGTACTTTCAGTGATACATAGTAGAAGTCTCAATAAAAACTTCACCAAAATCAAATACTTGAGGAAATTCAATAAATTTAAAATCATCGCCATGTCAGAAACTTGGCTCGACGATGAAAAAACAAGTGAAATGAAAATGGAAGGATATGAAATGTTTGCAACAAATATTGAAAACAAAAAAGGAGGGGGGTTGCAAGATCTGAAGACAAATCTCTTCAATCCAGCAAAATCGAGACACTGACAAACACAAAAGAGAACCTCATGGGATTTCTAACGATTGAAATACATATTAAGAAGGCATCAAATTTAAGTTGCATGTATAGGACACCAGGATCATGTCGACACATTCAATAAAAAAACTAACAGATATACAGTAAATATTCCCATCCCCGGAATTCTATGAAAAGGAATATCCTTCCCCCCCGTAATAAAAACCTATGAATTAACATTTTGACTACAATATTACGTGTTACCGGAGCTTACGTAAGCGGAAATTCCACTAGCTGTAACCCGGATGGAGGCGTAATGCCGCGGGAGCTTAAATACACGCAACACCCACCCGATGCGACAGAAAAGACACGACGCTGAGACACGTTTTCACTTCGCGTTTTTTGATCATAAGATTCGAAACGGCGACGTGTCAGTGAGTTTTTATTGGCGTGCACTTCACTGTAATTGTGAATGATCTTAACTTTATTCACTTATGTCCTGTAGAACACGGCACGAGCTTAAAACCAACACCCACTCGACACGACAGAAAAAACGTCTTTGCTTCACCGTTTTCATTCATCAGATTCGAAACGATGACATGTGACTTTTTATTGGCGTGCGTTTTACTGTAATTGCGAAAGATTTTAACTTTATTCACTTACGTCGTGTAGATCATGGCATCGTAGAAGAACTGTAATGACTGTAGCGGAGCGAGTGAAATGCATCCATTTGAGCGAGACTGGACACAAAGTAAAAAACATCCAGCAGACACTTGGAGTCGGAAAGACGTGAATCTACAAAACTTTAAAAAACAAGGCATCGATTCAACTCCTGATGACAAGCCACCATCCAGCAAGGAAGCAATGCAAATGGCAACAAAAATCCTTCAGTATGCACAAGAATTACCAGACATCTGTGATCAACGGGACAGTTACTTGCAACTAGCAAGAAAACTGTATGACACGCAGGCAAACATTGTCATAAACCAAAGAATGCATCCAACAAAACAATCCAAAATAGACACACTTTTTCCCAAGACAGAAAAAATTAAACATTAAAATACTGTATGTATTTTACTGTTATGATTTTTTATTTTTTTTGATACACCTGTATTGAAGATTTTGTTATATAAACAGTTTTTGGTCAATATTTTTGTATTTTATTGATTGTGTTGTTACAAGTGCATTTTGTCAACATACTTGCAGGTTCATAAAGGACATGTACCATGCTCATTTCCCAAATGAGGAATTTCTGTTATCAAGACAAATCGGACAGCACAAACACGAGTCTGTACTAGAGAATATTTACGGTACTAAGTTACTCCAACGATAAGGAAACGCGAATAATGTGTGGTGACTTTAATATTGACTTATTAAACCCAAATGGAGAGAAAAAAAAACAACTGACTTTATAAATACGATGTATAGCAGTAGTCTTTTCCCAGTAATCCTGAAACAGAGTAGGATAAGTTGATACTGTTCGGGTGGTTCTGTTTGTGACCAACAGGTGACACTGCAGGAGGAGCACATTGTGTCATTAGTTCGTGTTGTGTTAAAAGGACTAAGTACCACCTGAAAAAAAAAAACACCTTTCAATACACTCATGGAAAAGAAAACTTTATCTAAATAGGAAGGTCGATGAAATACAATTTGTCTGATGAAGCCTGATTAGATGGGAGCGGAAAATTTCCTGGACATCTGTCATATTTTGTTTTCTGTCTTCGGATTTGTTTGCTATTTTGTTTCCTGAGATTTTCTGGACTTTGGGTGAGTTTTGGAGTTAGTTTCTGCTGTGTACTTCTGCATGCATTTTTGTTAAATACATCTCGGTCAGCCACCCTGTGAGACTTCCACGAGAATATTTGGCCACAATCTGAGCAGGAAAAATGTTTCTCACCATTGTGGGTTCCTGTGTGTCCATTTAGGTGTGACTTCTGACGGAATCTTTTGCCACAATCTAAACAGGCAAAAGGTTTCTCACCAGTCCAAATGTAACAGATACAGCCACATTAATAGATAACATATTTATAAATTGACCATAAGATAAGATAAGATAAGCCTTTATTTGTCCCGCATAAAAATGGAAAGTGGACTTCTCATTTGTGAAAAAGTGACCATCTACCTGTCTGTTCAGTCTTTCATAATTATTTTTAGAGAAAAAATAAATCAACAACTCACATATCAGAAATAAGACTCAGAACCCAACAGTCCATCGCAGCTTTCAAGCTAGACTGAGACAAACAAAAGTGGTCCGAGGTCGACACAAACGAAGACCCAAATACTGCGTTTGATGCATTTCAGTCAACTATAACCTCCTTCCATGAAAAACATTTTCCATCACCTAAAGTCTCCAGAAAGTACAAAGACCTAAGTAAGCCGGCTTCCGTTACGAGAGAATCTTTGGCCACATTATGAACAGGCAAAAGGCTTCTCACCATTGTGGGTTCCTGTGTGATTTTTTAGGTGTCCCTTCTCAGAGAATTTTTGGCCACAATCTGAACAGGCAAAAGGTTTCTCACCAGTGTGGAGTAAATATAAGAACTAGTGAGAGAGATCATTTTCATGCATTATTCGAGCAGAATAAAAGCAACACACAAGAAATATGGAACATACTAAATCACAACATCAGAAATAGTCCTTAAAAAGTAGATTGTCCAGAGTCCTCTATTAAAAAACAAAATACTGTTTTTGAGAAAACTGCAGAAATAGTGAAGGGATTTAATTGGGATTTTGTTAATTTCGGCAGTAACCAAGCAAAACAACTTCCTGATCCAATAAACTCGTTTGAAATAGATACATGTAAAAAAACTCTTCCACAGTGTTCCTTACTGCTGTAAATCATCAAGAAGTATTAAATATTGTTCGAACATCAAAAAATAAAAAGTCAACTGATTGCTTTAATATTAATGGACAATCGTAAAACAGATTATAGAGTTTGTAGTGCGACCTTTCACATGCATATGCAATCTGTCATTCAAAGCTGGCATCTTTCCATCAAAAATGAAAATTGCAAAAGTCATTCCAATTTCGAAAAGTGGAGAAAGACATTTGTTTACAAATTATGGACCGATATCACTGTTCCCACAATTCTCAAAAATATTACAAAAACTATTTTCATGCAGACTTGATAACTTTACAGACACATGTGCTATTAAGTGAAAATCAATATGGCTTCAGAGAAAAACGGAGCACCTCAATGGCAGTAATGGAGTTTGTGGAAGCAATAGCCACTGATATAGACAACAAAGAATTTACTGTTGCGATTTTTCTAGATCTAAAAAAGCTTTTGATACAATAGATCAGAGTATATTATTGAATACATTATGAGAGATATGGCATTAGAAGTGCAGCATAGAAATGGATATAAAGTTATGTACACAACAGATGTCAGTATGTGCAGTTCAACAACAAAAAAATCTAATCAACTGAAGATCACTCGTGGAGTCCCTCAGGGGTCTGTGCTTGGTCCAAATATACATATTCATCTTATATATAAATGATATTTGTATCACCTCAAAACAATTTAAATGTGTCGTATTTGTTAACGATACAACTTTCTACAGCTCTGGAGAAAATCTGAAACGGCTCCTGATAACTGTGGAAAATGAATTAAACAAATTGAAAAACTGTTTAGACAGAAATAAATTGTCACTTCACTTGGAAAGATCAAAGTTAATTGTTTTTGGCACGAGACAATCAAACAGCAAGTTAAAATCATGGTAAACTCAATTGAAATAGAAAGAGTGTATGAAAATAACTTTCTTGGATTCTTCATAGATTCAAACTCGTTTGAAGCCACAAATAGAAAACGTTAAAAGGAAAATATCCAAAACCATAGGGATCCACTACAAAACCAAGGATGTGCTGAATTAGAGATCTTTGTACACCTTATACTCTTCATTATTAATGCCATATTTGACCTGCTGTGTGGAAATATGGGGAAACACCTGTAAAACAAACACACTCCCTGTTTTAAAACTCCCCCCCTAAAAAAGGAATCAGAATGACTAATAATTCACAATAATCGGAACCCACGAATCCACTATCTAGCAAATTTAACACAATGAATTTTTATGACCTGGTTGACTTCAAAATAGCTCAATGAATGTACAAAGCACACAATAACCTGCTCTGCCAAAACATGCAGAAGCTTTTTGAAATTTGATAAAGTTCTAATGATTTCAGGGGTACCAACCTCTACAAAAAAATCCAAAACAAAAACAAACATGTGGAAAGAAAACCTGTGGAATAATTTTGAAACTGACCTGAAAATTAGTGACTCGCTTGCTGGGTTCAAAAACAAGAGAATAGCACAAAAAAACTACATCTATCAGAATTTATTTGATACATTTATTCAATCATACATCCATTTATTGATCCGCTTATCCTCACAAGGGTCGTGGGAAGTGCTGGAGCCTATCCCTGCTGGTAGTAGGCGGGGGACACCCTGAACTGATTGCCAACCAATCGCAGGGCACACACAGATGAACAACCATCCGCGCTCACACTCACACCGAGGGACAATTTAAAATGTTCAATCAGCCTGCCATGCATGTTTTTGGAATGTCCAGAGTACCTTTACTTATCTTTACTTTCTGTCAACGTTTCTGTGCGCTCTTGTGTTGGCCAAAGTTACGTGTCACT